ATCAGGAAGCCGGGCAGCACTTCATTACACGCTGCCCGGCTTCCTGATTGGCCGGGAAGTCAGCTCCATGCTCTCTCATCACAAGTGATCACAACCAATCAGGAAACCGGGCAGCATGTAATGATGCTCTGCCCGGCATCCTGATACAGGAAGTACTCGTGCTAGGCATCGGAGCATTTGGGCGCATTTAGGTATCGGCACCGATATCGATACTAGTATCGGTATCGGTGCATCCCTAATTTTATCATTCGATTTTGGAATTAATTTTCCTGAACAAAAGTCACATTCACTGTTCGAATTTCATTCATTTGAGAATTTATTTTATTTTATTTTTTGTCACTGTGGTTGAAAACAACTTTTGATTTGACCCCATTACTTAGTAAATCGAACGAATGTTCCGAAAAACAATGTTTTTGTTTTTGAATTAAGTTCTAACTGTGTATACCCAGCTTTACAAAGGGATTACATGGTGAATGGCATGCAAAGAGTTAATGAATGAGCCTGTTTTCCAGTACTGGGCTATAAATGTCTTTATTTGTGTTATCTTGCATGCCTGAGGAAGAGGTGGTGGATTCCTCCCAAGCACACTGTGTAATAAACCTTCGGTAAGATATACAATGTACTGTATGTCTCAAGTAAGAACATTGGTACGGAATTCCAGAGCTTAGGGATTTGTCTCTTTGAATTACAGTCTACTTCATCCTCAGCTATCTATCTGACTCATTTCACGGTCTGCTCCATGCACCACATTGCACGGCATACAGGGAACACCTTTTCAGCATATACATAAGGTTAGCATGTTTTGCCTCATAGATCGGGTCATTTGCCAACAATTGTGTACTCTTAGATGCCCTCCGCCTTTGTATTTTAGGACACACACGGTGGTTCCAGCTGGTGTCCCCATTATGCAATCGCGTAGCTTAGTAGAGGGATGTGGTTCCATCTCTGGCTTCCATGGTTTGCTTTCGTTACATTACACACAGTCATAACACTTGCTGGGATACAGTGCATAGTGGCCTCACAGTGCCCTCTGATGTCATCGGTGAAATGTGTGTGAATGTGCTTCTGTCATTGTGTTAGTAGCGCAGGATGTTCCATGTTTACAGCCTAATGCCAAGTACTGCGGGGTCAGACATTGGGTGGATCCTAAAGTTATTATTCTCCAAGGAAACCTATTTCTAGAGGTTTTCCTAGAACAGACCCTGAGCTTTTTTTTTTTGCATTTGAAGAATCCCGACAACACAAGTGTCTCCTTAAAACAAGATTGTCCACTTCCTATTGTGATATGATTATCTCTTATACCTGGAAGGGATCTGATGTGAAGAAAAGCAAAGAAGGAAGCTGAGAAACAATCCTCCATCAGAAGAAGATTTATTTGTTGCTTTGTTTATTAATTGTCAGGAGATACATCATGCATTTCACTTCTGCAATCATATTTGAAAAAAAAACTCATTTGTTATGTGTTCCTATTCACACAACTTATCTAAAGAATAAAAAAAAAATATTTATTATCTTGTCTACTAACAGAATTTTCCCCTCCCCATAAACTTCAATAGGATTCGCTGCTAAGCTCGGGGTTCAATGAATTTCAAACAGGATTCACTATATAAGGTCAATGATGTCACCAGCATCTCCCCTCTGTATATGTGTGGCTGCGGGGTGGGCAATACCCCGGCTACAGCTGATTGGGAGTGCACTGAATCCTAACTTTAGGGTTTCCATGAGTTTGGGTTTGAACCAACCCCAAGCACATTCCTAGTCAGGAATTTATTCATGCAGACTTGTAAAGTTACTGAAAGCAAAACATCTCATCATTTTTGAAAGTTCTACCCCCATAGACTTGCATTGAGTTCGAGTTCGAATTCAAACTTCTCAGACATTCGAATGTTCGAATACGAACCGAACTCGGGCCTGTTCAGCCCATCACTAATTACAAGTATATCAGCTTCATTTTTAAATAAGGGGTAAAAAAGATGTGTTTTTTTTAATACCAGCTGCAGCCTTTGTTTAGTTTAATAACCATTTAAAGTCGTTTCCAAAAAGAAAACACCTTGTCCAATGCTTCACCCACTCTAGTGAAGTAGCCTCTGTTTTTCTTTTCTTCCTCGATCACTCTGATCTGTTCCTCGTACCTCTTAGCTTCCTCTTGACGCCCCTGCGCCAGGTACGATTCCCGTTCCTGTAGACACAGATACAATCCGTACATATATCAAGAATACAAGAAAGACGAATGAATATTTAGTTGCCACATAAGGATAAGATATATATTTTTTCTCATATTCCACATTACGAGGAATAAAGTAACTACAAATTAACATCAACAAAGTCTTTACCAAGTAATTACAGACCTGTAAGCTTAACTTCAATAGTTGGGAAGATACTTGAAAGCACTAGAGGAACTACCAGGGTCACAGCGGTCGCAAATGCGACCGGGCCCTGGCGTTCTACCACTTTGGCTGGCCCAAAAAAGCAGTGTCGACACTACAGAAAAATTGTGCGTGGAGAGACAGGTCCTCTTGACTGACATTCTGACCAGCCAGTGACATTTCCCCATTACCCAGCTCAGATCGCTCAGAGTGAGGCGGGAGAAGGGTGTGGGTGTGGCATGCCAGTGTTGTGGTAAGAGTGAGCGAGCTGCATGATGTACTGGGTGGGGTTTTCTGAGGTTGTGGGCGTGCCCTAGGCTGCAGTCAATAGTAGTACCCACTTGCCTGCATGTCGGGAAATCTGAATGGTGAGAGCGGCAGGGAGCGGAGGAGGATTCTTCTAAGCTTCTCTCATATCAGAAGAATCAGACATCCTCAGGTGGCTGCACTGCTGGAGGGCAGTCATCTCCATCTCACAGTTAGTGCATACAAAATGATACTGTGGGCTTTTTTCCTGGTGACAACTGAGTCACTTTATTGTATTCCATATGTCTTGTATATGTTTTTCAGGGCTTGTCCACACCAAGTGCGCTGCTTTCCAGAGCGGCAGCAATCGCTCAGTAAACTCCCCCATTCGTTCGTGGACGGGAGGGGGCATGGCGGTGCATTGAAGTCAATGGCACCGTAGCCACGCCCCCCACCCGCAGTGCAATCGGATGCATGGCAAAACATTGCCTGCATTATGTTACGCTGCGAATGCAAATAAAATGCTGCATGCTCTATTTTTTGTGTTCGCAGTGGACCGGAACGCAGGCAATGTTTTGTCCAGCATCCGATTGGGCAAAACAATTTTGCACCCTGGCTGTCCAGGAAATGGGGGACAGCAGACATGCACCAACCCCTCCTGAACTATACAGGGCCACATGCTTTTAACATTGGGAGGGTACCTTGCAAGGCACCTTTTTCCAATCTTTAGAGGACAAGGGCCTCATCCCCACATGATGAGCCTCAAAGGGGATGTGGAGGTCTGGGGGTGGAATCCAAATATCTGGTCCCCCGTATGTGAATGAGTACAGTGTATAGAGAACCCCTTGTTACTCATTCACAACAAAAAAAAGAAATAAAAATAAACACACCATTAAAAAAAACAATGCCCTATGATGTAAATTCAATGTCAGTTATGTTGTCCAGCGATGTAGATCCATGTCAGGCATGATGAGCACCTCCTGACAGTGCTGATCCACTGCTATGATGATGGCAAGTGACTGATCCCTGCTGGCTTAAGCATGAAGACAACCGGGTGGGGATGCTGAGTGATGTCACTGCGCAAATATCATCATAGTCTATGTTTGCCCCAGCTGGAAAGGGGAAAGGATGGCAGAGCTTTGTGGAATGTTACCCAGCAAGTGGGACAATGTAGGGGAGCTGGAAGAATTTGGAACGTTTGGTGCAATGTATGGAGAGATGTCCTGGCCACACCCAACCTTGAAAATCGCAGAGGCCCCATCACAAGATGTTTTTGCCCAGACCCCCTGTCAGAGATTAGGCTGCATTTTGTGTTTAGGGATTAGGTCAGGGATTAGAGTTTATTAGAGTTGGGCTTTGGATAAAGATTACATTTAATGGTAAACACAATAACAGCCTCCTCTCTTCTGGAAAGACTTTGCACCAGATTTAAGTGTGTCTTTGGGAATTTTTTTCCCATTCAGGCAATAGAGCATTTGTGAGGTCAGGTACTGTTGTTGAAAAACAAGACTTGGCTTGAGCTCCATCTCATCTCAAAAGGTGTTCAGTAGGGTTGAGGTCAGGGCTCTGTGCTGTACACTTTAGTTCTTCCACACCCAACTGGTGAAGATGAGAGGACAAAATTATCTAAAAAAAAATGTGTGTGATGTCGCATTTACAATACTCTTCATTGTAAACTCCTGAACTGAATAATTTGGAGGGATGTCCACTTTTGGCCATAGGTGTAATGGTCAGTTATTCACAAATATTTGAATGTATAGTGTTAACATAGGATTAGGTTCTCAGATGTGCCCCTGAATTCGTTTTTTGGCTGAAATAAATTTTGGGCACCCCAACTACATACAGGAAAATCTCCATTATTATACAAAACAAGCATACTGTTGATGCATTCTAATTGTAATTCTGAGCATGTTTTTTGCCCAAGAAATAAAAATTGTTCTTATTGTTTATTTTTATAAATTGAATAAATGTATAAATGTATTACCCTTTCCTTCTCCTTGGTGACTTGTTCCAGTTTCTGATTCATGATTCTTTTTTCTCCCTCTATTTTCTCCTGTAACCTTTGAACAGTCGCCCTAAGGTTGGCCATCTCTTCATTTGACTTCTGGTTCTCCTGCTCTTCTTTCAGTTGTTGAAGTCTTTCTTGCATTTCCTCCATTTGCTTTCTAGTGTTTATCACTGGCAAACAGAAGAGACAATGAATAATATAGGCACATAAATCAGGATAATTAGGGGGTGCTCACATGGTCTTCAACTTCTATAAGAGATGCAAAAATAATCTTGCACCAGGGCCCTTTGTTCCCTAGGTCCGCCACTGGCTGTACCGGTTTACTTTATTAAGCCTAAGTAATTTTTCTGCAAGTATATTGCTACCTGTTGATCCTGCTAGGAATCCAGTGTCCTTGTCACTTCCTGTGCATTGATCTGAAATCTTAAACAACTCCCAGCTATCTTATGTGAACGACAAAAAATGTATCTACCCACATTGTAATTATGAGGAGCGAGGGAGGTATCTGCAGTCCAAATCAGGAGAGCAGTCAAGAGTGACAATGCTGTTCCTGCATAAATACAGGACAGTTATAGTCACCCCAAGACAGGATGTGTGTTAATAGCAGGATCACCAGGGGAAAATAAAGTAGATTTCAGATCAAAAACAAAACCAATGCTGCCACTACATCTAAGGACTGGTAAGCGGAAATATATTTTCCATTTTTGTTATTGGGTTTAGATATACTTGAACTGCTTTTCACAGGACCCAGTGCAACAATCCATCCTTTTGAATGTATGTCAAAAAAAGGATCTGGTGTCACAAGCAGTTTTTGTATGTCCGTTTTTGATCAAATAAAGTAAAGTAAAAAAAATAACATTGTGGTTTGTCCCCACCATTGGTTAACCCTTGAACCGCCTTCATCTGTAAGACAGTTCACACACAATTTTTCTTTTAATGCCGCTCATACTGCTACCCGTGTACCGACTTTTGGCTGCTGATTCACCGACTACTCTCATTGTCTACCGCTTCATACCCGATACCTTTGGCTACTGACCTCGGCTTCATCTCTGACTACGCTTCTGCCTGCTACTATATTACAACCGTCTGCTTGTGTACCGAACTCGGCTTGCTTTACCACAAATTTGCCTGCTGTTTCAGCTACTGGACTCCGAGCCTGATCCCAGATCGTGACAAGCACATGACATCTTGATGAGTTAGTCAATCTTCTTCTCTACAGAGGAGGAACATGCTGGCAGATTGTCAGAACAACAATCCGGACATCAGTAACAACAGTAACCAACATGCAACACACAGCTCACTGCTGATGTCAATGGATCATTCTTTTTCTGTGTCCCCTGTTATCAATGAACAGGAATCCTCTATGAGTGTTCCTGTTCATTGATAACATTGTATGTTTACTATAACTACAATGATGAATGAACAGGAGGAGATGTAGATCACTCCCGTTCATTCATAATTGAGGATATAGTAACCATACCATGTCCTCAATTATCTACAAACACTCATTTATCACTGATTGCTGAGTGTTTGCATTGGCTCAGCTACCTGTGACAGCTCTGTCTCCGCCCCCACACCGCTCTGCCGGACTGTGATAGGCGGCTGAGCGGTGTGGGAGGAGAGACACGGGCCGATCACGGTGGTCTCCACCGCAGTGCTCGGCCGGCTATAACTCTCTCTCCTCCCTGCTGGGACAAAGAGCAGCGCCCAGCAGGGAGGAAAAAAATCATTGCTGCGACGACAAAATGGCACTTTAGCCGAAAGTGCCATTTTCGGCCGGCGCCCCCCTTCTGCTTTTCACCCGGGGGCCAGCGCACCGCCCCCCCCGGTTGTTACGCCACTGCACCCAGGTCTAGCTGGCTGGGCACACACGCTTGCATACAATCTGGCATACGCTGAGGGTTGTGGAGCAGCCTAGCAATTTCCATGTCTTAATGTCTAAATTGCTGCAGCAGATTCTGTAAGCAGTGCATGTTTCCTTTAAAATGTGGTGACGGCTGCCATATGTGTGTATAATGGGTTAACTACAGCGCTAACCGGCCCCAGAGATGACCACTCTCATTCTGCTGGTGCTTAGATTGGGGTCCTGCAAGCTGCAAAACTCTGCACATGGTGTGGCTGAGAACATAATATCATCACAGCCAGGACCTAATTTTTCCTCCAAATAATATTACTTCTACTACAGAGTTTTGAAAGAAATTATCAGAAATTCAAAGCAAAACTAAAAGGTAGGAAAGCTTAAATGTGTTGAAAATGTCACTGAACCTTGCACATGCGTTCATAACTGGTTGGACAGAAAGGTAAAGGAGAACAAATGACAATAAATAACACGCAATTTCGTTGCGTTCCCAATGGATAACCGTATGAATTTTGCTACATTCGGACATTCAGATGCCTCCTAATTTGAACGTGAACGAATCCAAATGTTCATTTAACCAAAATTCGGGTTCATCTGACTTTCATTCAAACCAAAACTCAATCATACATGTGACTGTTCTCTGGCCAATCAGATGGGGGGTTTTTTTTGGCTGTTGGGGGTTGCATTAAAGACACGGTCATGTGAATTTATGTGGGTCATGTGGGTTACATGTCTACAAAATACCCAAAAGGGGTTTCTGGGCGATATGAAACCATTATAATTAGTAAAGTCTCATTTTAACAATCTCACCTTCTCTACGTCCCCCAGGCCTTCTGTGTCTAAGAGAACCAGAACACGATCCTTATACATGGGGTGAGGGACACACCACATCCAGATACCTTTGGTCTGAGACTGAATAGTAGAACCCAGACTGAAGCCTGTGAGCAGGAAACACGTAAAATTATCTTTGAAACAATTATAACTTCATAGCTTTCTAAAAACTAGAAATGTGGACTTTCTGAGCTGGAAGTCCAAATAAAGTTATTCAAAATCTAAACCAAGCCCGAAATAGTGTATATTACAGAGGAGTAAATGCTGTGTAGGGATAAATGATGATCTTTGCTGAATTGCATTTTTAGACTCCATTTTGTCTATGTAATATAATGCTTAAAGTAATATTAAAGCCTCCTTTATTATTATTTCCTACAAGGAGATTCACCTTTAATTGAGGCTGTTTTTCTTTTAAAAGTTTTTAATTCCATGTTTTCTAGTGGGTCCCCGCAGCAATCTTCCCCCCGCCTCCTGTACAGGTGCCACCAGGCCACGCCTCTTCTGTCTTTGGTACCTCCCCGCAACCCGGAAGTTCGGGGAATGGAGGATCGCTTCGGGACCAGCAGCGGTGATGAGCATAGCTGACAGGTAAGTGTGGGGGGGACTGGGGGAGAAAAAAGGTGCTGGGCCATTCTTACCCTAATGCAGAGAATGCATTAAAGAAGAGCTATGAGGTGAGTGAAAACCACTCATAGTTCGAGCCGACGTGTGACAATGAAACTGTCACAGGTCGGCTCAAAAGATCGGGAAGTGAGCGAACACATACCGGCGCTCGCTCACTTCTCGATCATCTTCCTGCAGAGAGCCGTGACTGTCAGTCACGGCTCCCTGCAGGGATTCCCCCCTCCCCGCTCCGATCCTCCAGCGCTGAATGGAGGAACGGACGGGGGAGGGGGTGGGTATAGCTGGCTATAGCTGGGCGGATCTGGATAGTAATGTCGGGATCCGTCATCCGGCTGCGGCGCTGTCACTATACAGTGAGATGTAGCTCGCTATATACTGAGCTTTGGGTCACGGAAGGATGCTAGTTTATGTCCTTCTGTGACCCTTAAGAAAACTATGGGGAAAAACACTGACCCCCTAGTTCTCTTTTAAGGTAAAAAAACGCCCAGACCTTATTACTACTTTAATCTACCATATAGAAGTAAATGATATGACATCTAAAATGACAGGTTAAAGATATTCTACTATACGATCATTTTCTATATGTATATTATAATAAAGAAAAACATACATACTACTAAATACAGTTATAGACATTCTATACATATATGTTAAATACACATACTAAATGCAGTTATAGGCTTTAAAACATCTTACGTACAAAACATGTTTTATCACTTGTTCATGAGACAAAGTTGCAAGTCACTCTTCTTAGAAGTTTGTGTTAGCTGTTATCTTAAAGTCATTGGAGAAATTGCCATTCTAGGAGTTTAGTTTATCTAAACTCAGACACTTGTTATGTATACGTATGGACCAAATGATGCTGATTTAGGATGTATTTTGTTAAACTGAACAATGATGTAACCTAATCTTTATCTATATGTGTAGACCTATATAAGCTGTATGAACTAGAGTGGGGTTGGAATTGGCCTGACAAACTAAGGGCCTTTCCCCACATGCGTGTGTCAAATAACTCTTTTATCTGATTTGGATCTACTCACAGACTGTTGCCGCTTTGCTCTTAAAATTCCCTATTTAATGCAAACCCTGCCGGCTGGAATGATGGGGCCAAAAAACTGTCCACACCACTTGGATAGATGAGAGGGACCTGGTGACACCGGCAGAAGAATATATTAGGCAGGAGCAGCCTTTGGAGCAGCCAGTAGGTATTTCTCACAGAAGTATTTTGGGATTCCAAACTGCCACAACTAAAGGTGGCCATACACTCTACAACCATCGCAAGACTTTAGTCTTGCGATGGTTGTAAAGGGATTAAAAAAACGTACGATCTGCCTATCTTGGACAGGCAGATCGCACTCTCGATCATCGCAAGCCCGCCCTCCTGAGGGGCGGGCTTCCGATGACCGCAATGCTGAACGGGCAGTGTGCGCGTGTGCACACCGGCCCGTTCAGCATTTGTCTTCCGAGCACCGTTCTAACCAGCCGAGAATCGTACGATTCCCGGCTGGTTTTCGAACATGCTGGTTC